AATACTAAGCAAAATATAATCAAAATGAATTTAGTGATACATAAAAAAGATAATCCATTATAACCGAGTGGGATAAACTTTAGGAATTCAAGAGTAGTTTAACATTTAAAAATAAATCAAGATAATACTTTGTAGTAACAGAATAAAGGGGTAAAAATATACAATCATCTCAGTAGATGTAGAAAAAGGATTTGATAAAATTCAGTGTTGATTCATGATTTTTAAAAAGCCTAAGCAAAGGAAATTTGTTAATCTGATAATGAGTGCCTAAAAATATCTTAAACGTCATACTTGATGGTGAAATGTTGAAAGTCTTCTCCTTGAGATATCTGCTAGCATCACTTTAATTTAACATTACATTAGAGATCCTAGCCATTGTAGCAAGGCAAGAGAAAGAAGTAAAAAGTATATGGTTTGGAAAGTAAGAAATAAAACTGTCATTATCAATAGGCAACATGACTGTATATATAGAAAATCCAAAAGAATCTATAGATAAACTATTAAAATTAATAAGTAAATTTAAGCAGGGGTGCTGGATACCAGGTCGATATATCAAAAACAATTGTATTTACATATACTAGCAATAAAAAATAGAAAATGAAATTTAAAAAACAATACCATTTACAATAGCCTCAGAAAACACCAGATTCATAGGAATAAATATGATAGAGATATAAGATCTCTACACTGAAAACAAGAAGATATGCTGAGAGAAATTGAAGAAAACTTAAGGAAATGGAAAGATATACCATGTTCATAGAATGGATGACTCAATATTGTGAAGATGTCAATTTTCCTTAAATTAATTTTTATATTGTACAAGCCATTCAAAATTCTAACAGGCTTTTAAAATGGATATCAACAAACTGAATATAAAATTTGCATGGAAAAGAAAAGGGCCAAGTTAAGCCGAGACAATTATTAAGAATATGAAGGAGGCTGAGATAACTTATGGCACCAAATATTTAGAATTGTTATAAAGCTATAGTAATTAAGTCAATGTGGCATCTGTGCTAAAATAGACAAATGGCCCTGTTGGGGAGGAAATATAATTTTTCCTCAACCTCTATGAGTTCTTAGTTGAGACAGATTCCTATAACAAAAGACAAGATTAACAAGATAAAAACAAACAAGCTTATTAACATGTGTAGCACACATCATGAGGGAGAAACTTTAATGAAAAGTATCTCAAAGCGATGGCTTAGAACTCTGGCTTATATAGCATCTTCAACAAACAGCAGTACGTTTGTAGACAAATGAAAGGACAAATGAAAGTGTTTTAGGCTTCCAATGGTGGGAAACGATGGGAAGGTAAATATATGGGAGGAAACTAATGGAATGAGGTTTATTTTCAGGTTCCTCTGATGCTGTCTCTGGGCTGATAAAGAGTCTAGAGTTGTCTCTAGTCAAGGAGAGTTTATATCCTGCCTGTAGGCAGAAAGTAGGGTAGGGTGAGCTTTTTCTCTGTTTACTGCTTCTTAATTGCCTTTAGCTAAAAAGTAATTTTTATGTCAGAGGAATATTTTGGGGTGACATATTCCTGTTTCCTTAAGCCCAATGGAACAGATTAGAGAATTTAGAAAGAGATCTTTATATGATCACTTGTTTTATGACAGAGTTGACACTAAAATACAGTAGAGAAAGGATGTCTTTTCAGTAAATAGTGCTGACTCAATTTAGTATCCATATGGAAAAAAATGAATCTTCCTCAAGCCATTCACAAATATCAATTCTAGCTGCATTGTAGATCTATATATATTAGGTAAGACAATAAGGCTCTTAAAAGAAAACATAAGCGGATATCTGTATACCCTTAGAATAACCAAACATTTCTTAAACATTACACAAAAGGACTAACTATAAAGGAAAATATTGATAAACTAGATTAGACTAAAATCAAGAAATTCTGATCATCAAAAGGTACTGTTAAGATAATGAAAGAGCAAGCCCAGAGTAGGAGAAGATACTATAAATAACTACAAATCAATATGAGAAAGGCAAATAACCCAGTAGAAAAATGGACAAAAAGCTTGAACAAACACTTTGTACACAGAGGATGTTCAAATGACCTACAAATATATTAAAAGTTATATCAATTGCATTCATTGTCAGAGAAATGCAAATTAAAACTACAAAAAGATATGTCTACATATTCTTCAGAATGGCTAAATTTAAAGTGTCAGACAATACCAAATGTTGACAAGAACATGGAACAACTAGACTCTCATATATTATTGGTGGGAATGTAAACTCATACAACTATCATGGAAGACCGTCATGGAAGACTATCATGGAAGACCTATGTAAGAAGGTATGTAGCATTCATAATATTCATAATAGCCTCAACCTGGAAGCAACCCAGATATCCAAAGACAGTAGAATGGATAAATAAATCATAGTATATGGAATATATACAGAAATGAGAATACGTAATCTATAATCACATGCAAAAGCATGGGCGTATGTCACAAACATAATGCTGAGAAAAAGAAGCCAAACACTCAAAACAGGCAGCACTAATCTCTGGTAATAGGAATCAGGATAGTGATTACCTGGTTGTGGTAATGACTGGAAGTGGGAATTAAGGGGACTTTTAGGGTGTGAGTCATATTTGATTTCTTGGTCTGGGTGTATGGTATGGGATGGGGTTATTTTGTGAAAATTCATCAAGCTGTACAATGATGTCTTGTGCCCTTTTCTGTATGTATCTTATATTTCATTAAAATTTTTATTTAAAAAAACCTGGATCCTTACTTCAAGTCTTAAACCAAAATGAGTTACAGCTAGATTACATAGTTAAATAGAAAATGAAAGGTCCACAATTAAATGTGGATGAACTTTTCTTTATAATCTCAGAAACATGAATTAGAAAAAATTTCTTTGAAAAGAAAATTAAAATGGTAATAAATAAATATCAACATGAGGAAAATATTTATAAAATAATAATGTATTTTGTGGCCAGTCAGATCATCACACAGTAAAAGATACAAAATACTCAGTGTTGCTAAGCTTTGGTGAAAGGGGACTCTCATGTTCGATTGTTAGAATAATTTATTTCTACAGCATTTTTTGGAGGACTTTAAAATTTAAAGTGTGCATACTATTTGACCTAACAATACATTTCTAGGAATTTTATCCTAGGAAATATTTGCATACATAAATATATCAGGATAGTACTTAAAGCATTTTTATAATATCAAAACTGGAAATACTTTAAATGTCTATGAATAGAATACCGGTTATATAAGGTACACTCTGTTTAATAAGGCATACTATGTCTGGTAGAAAGAATGAGGTTGATCTGTATTAGTGGATGAAGTCATATGACCAGGAGACACTGATTGCTAAATGAAAAGAGTAAGTTGATGAACATTTGTATAGTGTGATCTCATTTAAAGAAATATATATTTCATTGGAAAATTCTGGGAAAATATACACCAAACTATTTACATAAAATGATCACATATAGTTAAAAATATTCATGTGCATATATTAAAATCAGTAGGAACTATACCAAAATGTCAACGCTGGCTCTCTCAGGGGATTACTGAGGCATTTAAATTTATCTTTGTATTTCCTTGCATTCCAAATTGCCTACAATGGGTGTATGTTGATTTAATAACCAGAAGATGCTAACTAGGATTATTAAATTTTGTGTGTGTTTTACCAGTTTCATGATAAAGATCAAACTCCTAAAGAAAGTGTTTCTTTCACGTCCTTACTGCCTGTCTGTCCACCTTTATCTGGCACTGATCCTCCACATGCACTCTCCATTTCATTTGTATACAGAACACAGATACTTTCTTATTGGAAATAATTTAAACAATGAGGAGCACATAGAGAAAAAAATGTGGAAACTCGATCTTTTTCTGTACTTTTGCTCACATATTATGTGTATATACAAATAGAGTCTTTTTAAAAGCATAAATGGGATGCTTGCCTCCTCCGTCTTAACCACTTTCCATTACTTGCTGTCCCTTGAACCATTCACGCTATTTCAGCCCCACATAACTAGCCAAAGGCCCCTTTTACCCTTTCTTCCTGTCCCTATGCAACCAGCAATTACAGTGTCTAATTATTTGATGTTTTCCCTAAAGACTTTTGATGCAAGAGGTTCAAAAGGGACAAAGCCTGAAAGGAAAGCAGACATAGCCATTGCCGTGTAGGCAGCTGAAGGATGATGGAGAATGTGGCAGGATAATGTTTCCAGTTATTCACTGAGATTTTTGTCCCTCTGGTTTCTCTTAGTGAAGGCACATCCCCTGCCTAGGCAGCTAGGGTGCTCTGTGCTCATTGCCTCAGGGGACAAGTGACATAGCGAATTTCAGAAATCGATGCTTAGCTTTTGATTTGCTACAGTCTGGTTCTTGTGGGGCACCAAAGGACTCAATGCAAAAAGATTTAGAAAGATGCCCCGTGAGTAAGAAAAGCCTTCTTTAGTACCTTTAAAGCCCCTTCCTGATGGGTGATGTTGCCCTTAGTGAGGAGAGAGGAGGAGAGCTGGAGGGTAGGAGGAAAGACAGATGTCCGTGGTTCCTTAGGAGGCAGGTCTTGCTCTGTGTCTACACTGAATTCTGAAGGGCAGTGACCATGCAAACCCCTCACAGGTCTGGCAAGCCAGAAAGCAGAGGAAACCCATACCCCTGTATTTAGGCAAGGCTCAGAGGCTTTGGCACTCACTGAGTAAGGCCCTGGAATGTAGACTTAATTCCAGGGAGATGGGGTTGGAGGAGAGACCTTGAATTGCCTGGAATTAATCTCTAACAGAGGATTGCATTATAAATTAAGATGATTAGAGAACAGGTAAGTTGCATTCCGTACATATGTGAGTTTGAAAACTGAGAATTGTCCTCATAACAAATAGAGGAATTCTGATTTTATTTCTTTGCTTTGGTGGTGGTGCTGGTTGGGTTTTGATGTTGGCCATGAGCCCCGGGGATTTCCTTAAGCATGATCCTGGGAAGCTGTCTCACTTTCTCCCTGGCTTTGCCTCTCCACAGGGCTGCTGACCACCAGCAGCACGGACCTCTGGAGGCCGAAACAGGCCTGACAGTCACAGATGTGTTTGCCATCTCATCTTTATGTGAGTGGAGTAAGGGAAGATGAAAGCCACAGAATGAGACCTTTCTGGACACAACTGTACAGGAGCCCAGCCTGGAATGCACTCAGAGTTGATGCTGAATAATCTAAGAGATGCAAATAAAAACCAGCAAGGAACCCTTCTTTAACTTATTAAATTTGAGGGAAAATTCTTGTCATTGACTTGCATTCATTCAAGGGTTGGTTAAGTAATTTTCAGACCTAAATTTATCATTGATCGTAGCATTTAGAGTGAATTTTGGAAATCACTCAGTAACTTCAGCTTCATCAGTGCCTAGAAAGTTCACCTAAGCAGATGTCACAACACAATAAGCCAATGGAAACGAGAGGACAGATCGGCATCACTGGACCTACAATAGAGCAGGTTATTTCTTTGTGGCCATTCTAGGTACTCTGTGAAGCTCAGAATGTGGATATTGTTGGCCCAGCTTTATTTGTGCTCTGTTGTCCCACCATCGTTTCAGATTTGCTGATCTTTGCCACAAGTCCGAATCAACTCATCCATTTTCTCACCTTTCTCTGCCTTTTCCCCACCTCCTCCTTGTGCTTTGTACCCCCTGCTTCCTTGCTCTGTGCTGGGGCTGCGTGACTTTCTCCTTTCCTCTGAACTCTCACCCTGCTTGTCCTTGGTCCCTTCTTTCTCTATGATATGAATATCCTTGCTTAAATGCAGCTGAATTGTTCATTTTGTGGCATGCCATTTCCTTTCCACCTGGCAGACTCTCCACCAGCTGGGAAGGGACATGTATCTGCTCTTCAGGAAATGCTGTCCTTTGGGTGGAAAAGGACTTGCTTCCTGGCAGTGCCAAAATGAAGATCTTTCTCTGCTGAAAACAAAACAAAACCCCTTTATCTGTGGAACTTCCTGCTTCCTCCACCGAAAGCTGTGCTTCTCCAACATGGGGCGTTATGCCAGGGGCACATGAAATCATAGGACAGACTGAGTGCATCTTACTGATGCTGCTTGAAACTTTGGGGGGAAATAGTTTTGACTTTTTCTTCCTCGTAAAAGCTATTGCCGTACATGGATATGTAAAAATTTCTTGTTTCTGGTAAGCTGCTTTGGGTTATGTCTTCAAAATTCCTGGGGTATCTTTCTGCTTCTCTGCTGTTGGAAAGGACTAAAATGGAGACTTCAGAGCAGCACATAAAGTATTCCTTGTAAGTGGAAGACTGCTATGGGTTTGACCCAGCACATTTGGCAACTTGGGCTGATTTGATGAAGTTGGACAAAATTTTGAAATATTAATAGAGATGTCTTCCTTCTCCACCCCTTAAAATTTCCCTATGTCCTCCCTCCCCTTATTCTGTTATTAATTCATTACTGGAAGCATTTGCACTGTTACAGTAGGAATGTAAAGACAAAGAAACAGGTAGGGCTCCTATTGAGATTTTAAATATCTGTATTTTCAAATTCATAGCAGAGACAAAGCACGACTTTTCATTTGGAAGAGTTTGGCTTTGAACATCAAAAGCAAATCTTTGAAGAAATTGAGGTGTTATGGGTTGAATTGTGTCTCCCCAAAAATTAGACATTGAACCCTTAACTTCTAGTATCTCAGAATGTGACCGTATTAAGGAGAGAAGGTCTATTACAGTGGTAATCAAATTAAAATGAGGTCATTAGTGTGGGCTCTAATCCAATATGACTGATATGCTTACAAAAAGTAAAAATTTGGACACAGCCATGCATACAGGGAAGATAGTGTGAAGAGACATAGGGAGATGACGGCCACCTACAAGCCAAGGAGAGAGGCCTAAAACACATCCTTCCTTCAGCCCTCGAGAGGAACAAATATGGCCCACACCTTGATCTTGAACTTTAGCCTCCAGAACTGTAGACAATAAATTTTTGTTGTTTAAGCCACTCAGTTTATGGCAGCCCTATCAAACTAATACACAAGGCATAAAGTTTTGCCATAAACAACAGATTGGAAATGTGTTTCATCACATCTAACGTCTTGGTCTGTTCAGGTTGCTATAACAAAGTAGCATGGACTGGGTAGGTTAAACAACAGACATTTATTTCTCACAGTTTGGAAGCTGGAAGTCCAAGATCAGATGCCAGCATGGTTGGGTTCTGGTGAGGGCCCTCTTCCCAGCTTGTAGACAGTTGTCTTTTACAGTATGGCAAAGAGAGGGAGAACTCTGGTCTCTTCCTCTTCTCTTTATTTTTGTTTTTATCTAGAGGGAGTCTCGCTCTGTCTCCCAGGCTGGAGTGCAGTGGCATGATCTTGGCTCACTGCAACCTCCGCCTCCTGGGTTCAAGCAGTTCTCCTGCCTCAGCTTCCCAAGTAGCTGAGATTACAGGTGCCCACCACCACGCCTGGCTAATTTTTGTATTTTAGCAGAAATGAGGTTTCACCACGTTGGTGAGGCTGGTCTCGAAGTCCTGACCTCAAATGATCCGCCTGCATAGGCCCCCACCAAGTGCTCTTCCTCTTGTTATAAGGGCTCCAGTCCCATCATGGGGACCACACCCTCATGACTCACTTAAACCTACTTACTTCTTAAAGGCCACTGCTCCTAATAGCATCACATTGGAGGTTAGGGCTTCAACATATGAATTTGGTGGGTACACAGACACTCCATTCATAACATATAAGAGGTCACCAATTGTAAGGTACCTCCCAATTTTAAAAGACATCTATGTCTAAAGAAATGTACTACATCTCAGAATCAATAAAACATGGCAGTGTAGATGAAGAATAAAAGTACCCTCTTCTGTAAACTAGCTAAATATGGCCTAAGTCAGGGACAGGGATGAACCAGAGGAAATGTTCCAGGGTTTATATTCCAGTGGGTTCATGGAGAGATACCTAGTTTCCTGTCTTTTTTGCAGTGGGCTGAGCCTTGGAGGTGGGGTGAGAGGAGCAGGGACATCCCTATGTCACTTTCCATTCTTGCTGTTTCCCAGGATGAGGCCCTGTAGAGAAGTTCCCTGTGTCTGCAAGGTACAGCACCAGCAAAAGTACAAAAGGGCAGGGTAGCTTGTCTTCATTAGAGACTAGAGAGTAGCACAGGACAGTGTCCAAAACTCCTGGTCTATAGATAATTTATTTGGAAATAACAAAGAGGCGGATGGAGGGAGAGATTGAGAATAAGGGAGTCAGAGAACCCAAAGGAGCTTGTAGTTGAGATTGGAAGGTTGTGGGTGATCCCTCTGCCTTGATGCTTGGAGGCCAACATGAGGACCATGGAAGCAGTGGATGATTTGATAGGGATAGAGGCCAATGGGCAATGACCAGGTGGAAAGAAGGCAGTGGATGGAGGCCAGGGCAGGCACCATGTCCCCAAATGCCTGAGAAACCTTAGCTAGAACCCTAACAAGAAGGGTGATAGTGGTATGATATCTTGAATTGATCAAGTTAAGCTTGAAATGATTAATTTTACCCAGAAGTAACTGAGTTTACCTGGAAATAACCTAGATTTAACTTCTAACTTTGCAGGGAATAGGAGGCCAATACAGAAACTCATTCTTGTTATGAAGAGAAAGTGTATTTGACTTTATACACGTGAGTCTAGATTTTAAAATATTTCACTCAGTGTATCAATTTTCACTTCTAATCCCCTGCTCTCCACATTATGTTGGCTTTCCAGATACTCTGAAACTCTACATTGTCAAAAGAATTGAAATAAAGTTGACTTGTGTTAATAGAAATGTACATAGGATTCTTCTTCAAGATGACAGACTGAATACTTTCATTTGCCTCCCCTGCCTTCTTGGAATCCTCTGAAATGGTGGCTAAAGGCATCTAGAAAAAAAATAAATTTGTGACAACTCTGAAAACAGGAGGCAGTACTCTGGGTAGAAAAGATATTTCATCAAGACAAGCTGGATGGGCTTGGGCTTGCAGTTTGTTATTTCAATGGGAAACTATGTACTAGAACTAAATGAAGAATTGTGTCAGAGATGGGAGACCTTGTTCAGACAGGATCCAAGCTAGGAACTGGCACATATGGAGGACAAGAGTGAGCTTTGGACAGTGATCTTGGCTGAGCCTTGGAGGTGGGGTGAGATGAATTAAAGAGCAGAGACATCCCTCCTCTGGGTGGTTAACTAGAAAGATGTCCTTGGGACATTTTGGTTAAGTAACTCTTTCCTTTCTAAGATGTGTATAGAGCAATTTGAATTCTAAGAATGGTTTTCTGAGCTTATGAATGATTTGCAAGGGACAGCCGAAGGTATAAAGTTGGGGCAAGAAAGCACTGCAAGGTAATATCTGATGTAGACCCAGCAGATAAAAAGGAAATCCTGAGGGTAGAGCCAGAGGGTAGAAAGGAAAGTTGTCTCCAGCTAGGAGGGAAATACTTTTAAGTGCCCTACTTTCCTTTGAAGGTGGTGGAGTTCCAAATGTACTTGCTTGCTCCCTACCTGCATGTACCAAAGAGAAGAATCTCTGCACACAAAGGCTAGAGTCAGCCCTCACATTCAGAGCAAACAGGCCTGCCTAACTACAAAGGAAATACACATGAGCTACCTATACTAATCTACAGTCCTTCAACAACAAATGTAAAGGATCTCCTAAGGACCACTAGACATCTGAGGGAAATCAACAACATAGGAGACAAAGACCAAGATAAACAAACAAGAAGTCACTTGAGAGGATATGGAGAGATTAAAAACAATTCAGAGATTTTTGCATAGATAAAACAATGACTCACTGCTATGAAAAACATGTTATTATGGCTGGGCACAGTGGCTCACGCCTGTAATCCTAGCATTTTGGGAGACTAACGTAGGAGGACTACTTGAGGCCAGGAGTTTGAGACCAGCCTGGGCAATATAGTGAGATCCTGTCTGTCCCAAAAGAAAAAAAAATTAGCCAGGCATGGTGGTATGTGCCTGTAATCTCAGCTACTCAGGAGGCTGAGGCAGTGAGCTACGATGGCACCATTGTACTCCAGCCTGGGCAACAGATAAGACCCTGTTTTCTTTTTTTTGTTGTTTGTTTGTTTGCTTTTTAAAAAAGGACATGATATATTCCAAATAAGTAAATGAGATAAAATTGAGAAAATCTTTCAGAAACTAGAAAAGATGGCAAATTTAAGAGATATGTAAAAAGACAATATAATAGTTTGAGAAGGTCCAATATTTGCATAATACAAAAGAAATGAAGAAATAATGGAATAATTTTTCTCTGAGCTAAAGGAAGAA